GTGGAAGTGGCGAATGACCGCCAGCATCTTCGGAGGCACGCCAAAGCGTCCGAGCACGTCCCACAGCAGATCTCGGTCCACCGAATCGTACGCCTTGGTGAGATCGACGAAGCACGCGAAGACCGCAGTACTCTTCTTCCTCGCGAGCTCATGGAGCCGCTGGATCGCGAACAGCATGTCGAGCGTCGACCGGTGTGGGCGGAAACCGCTCTGTTGTACTTCGTATTGGTTTATTATTCATGTAGAGTATGAGACAGTGAAAGTTTTCTGAGGTACATTATTTGCAATTGTCTGAAGGCAAACAGAATAATAATAATAGTAATGGCTTTTTTCAGGCTGTCTTTTTTTCAAAAAATGACAACTGGCCAAATAGCCCCGTGTTACAACGTCTTTTCTTGCTAAAATATGATAACGAAATATGGACGAGCCTTTATTGACAGCCTATCCTATCGTTTTTTGGGCAACTTTTTGACAGGATGCGCTTATCAACAAAGGTTGTCATCTTTTCGAATCACGCGCCGACGTTGCTGGCACACACACACAAGCATCGCCAATAATGTGGAAGTGGCTGCCATCGCTGACACTCCTCGCTGGTGGCGGGAGTGCCACTCGGGTTCTTACCGGATCAGGCTCTCACATCACCAAGCGCGAAGCGTCTTGAGATATTCGGCGAGACGCATGAAGAGCGTGCTGCATCCTGCCAAGGGTGTTCGGCAGGTTGCGCTTGCTTCCTTGCGTACGGATGACGGCAGTGTAGACTATGGCCTTATTTTATATTCTGGTGCTTTGACTTCCAGAGACAGTTGTAAGCACTGCTGTGTAACCGCCTCTAGGGCGCTTGACCATTGTAACACAACGTGGTGCGATCATCCCCTTTCCGCGGAGTGGGGGCTTTCGACCCCGCACAACACAATCTACTAGACCACCAGAAAAAAACTGAAATCTGGTTACTGAGCTCACGAAGTGATCGGCTTGTTGCACAACGTGGTTGCCAGCGACGAAAACCCAACCCCGATGGCAAACACCGAGGGGGGGGATGCAGAGGGGGGGGTGTTCTCATAGTCGTGCGTGCTGTAGTCGTTAGGCCATTGACCTCGCATCCCTACAAAGCCGGGATGGAGCACGCCGGGTTCTCACCGGACCAGGCGCTCACGTCACCATGCGCGAAGCGCCGTGAGATATTCGGCGAGTCGTGGAGGGGTGGGGAAAATCAACACCTCCTTGCTGAACGGGATACGCGTCTTCTAGACAATTTTCATACCCAACGTAGCTGTCAGCGATGTAAGATGCCGAACCTATCTATGTCCTCTGTGTCGATCATTATTCACGTGTCATGTGCACCTTCACAACCACCCCCCGAAATCATGGACGCACTGCACAAAAACACTTCGTACACGTTCATCGTGCCGGTCGAAGATCGTATCACTTGGCTGCACTTTGAGGGAAATCGGCACAGATGCCCAGATTCGTTTCTTTCACTGGTGGTGGATCTGTGTTATTCTGAGCACCGTTTCGAACTATTCCAGATGCTGCGTTCATTTATGATTTTCCAAGAAATACATTTATACAAGGTGTCTGGCGGCTTTTGCCACGCCGCCCAACAAATCGATTCCAAGATACGCGATATGTGGTATTGCTGTAAACAACATATTCGCCTGATTGAGAGCGTAGCATCTGATTGAGAGCGAGATTGCGCGATACGCTGTAGCCGGACTACCACTGAGAGGTGGAGCTTGCTGTGTAGCTTGAATTGAAGGGCTAGCCCGTAGCTTCAAGCCGCTACCCTGGTCATCCTGTGGGAGTCTCTCGTTGTGGAGCTACAGCGGGGAGCAGAAGCTACAGCAGAGCCCACCGCCCGACGCGATACCGCCCTGAAACAGTTTGAGCAGAAATAGCCAATCTGGGCAAATCTAGCAACTTGTCTAGCTCCTCGCTGCAGCATCCGATGACGATGACACGCATATGCTCGCGAAGCTGCTGATGAGACCTTCAATTTGCACCGCTTCTTGGAATAGCCCGTCCCCTACTTGCCAAGAAATGGCAAGAGGCGTCTGGACCCGAAATTTCAATTTTTTTGGCTCTCGCTCTCAATCAGATACTTCGCTCTCAATCAGGCGAATATGTTGTTTGTACTCAACATTCATCGTGCGAGGTAGCAATTTGATAAAAATAACAACAACGAACGGCTCGGTGCAGAAAGAGAGAGGGCGCACTCGATTCGTCGTGTCATCTGACAATAATTAATGAAAATGAAAATAAAAAATGGACGGGTGGAGTCATGGACAAGACAAACCGTAGAAAGCTCGTGCAGCAGCAGCATCATCATTGGTGGCAAACAGACCGCACACGGGTTTACAAACAAGAAAAGAAGGCAAGAGAGACAACCAATGAATATGTTCAATTATACGCTCAGCTCGTAAACTGTTTAGAAGCCGTAAACCCCAAAAATGTGATCCAGCCGGGTGTTAAGGAGCTGAGCGTATATCTTTTATTCGATTAAGTTACACAATTAGACTTGTCAGCGCTGACCAGTCTAATAGTGTAACTTTATCGAGTAACTAGTGGTGTAACTTTATCGAATACATACCCCTGGCAAGGTCCTGCACTGTCACGGCCTGTCTGTGTAGGTGTCCACCTTGGGCTCAACCTTGGCTGAGTTCATACCCCTCACAACGTCATGCACTGTCAGGCCTGTGTAGGTGTCCACCCTGGACGGAGCCTGTCTGATGTCAGTCGTGGTATGTCATGCCTCGCCGCGAACGAAACGGCACTGGAATGATGTGTGTGGTCTATCTACCGGTGTTTGCGGAACGACACCAGACTCTTTTCTATATCACACACACACGCGTACGTATACATCTACCTGGTCGCCCCGGTGGTCTAGGTATCCTCGTAATCCGCTAGTCGCAGAGGTCGTGAGTTCGAATCCCCGTGGGGTGAAAATTTTACGAAATTCGCGGGTGAGAGCGAAATAGTCTATAGCTGAAAAGCTCTCGTGAGTACCAAACTTCGACGTTACAGTGCCGGCATTCGTCAGCCCGATTTTGGCTGACCGGCCATAACTTCACGAGTTTTTTACTTTTTTCGTTTTTTGTTCCTAGTAGTAGACGTCTAATCTACATCCTATTTGCCGCAAGAGTTGTTCAGGGACCAAATCGATTTGAGGCGTTCCTGGAATTTCATGATTTTCGTATGGGATTTTCAAGGCATTTCTGGGGGGGGATGATAACTCTTTGTATAAAATTTCGGCAACCACGAACTCAAAACATCCCGCATCTCCTTTTTCTTGCTTTGTATCGGCGGGGCTTGAGTTGTTGTTGTTGTTGTTGTTGTTGTTGTCTTCACATTAAACCGTATGTCAATTGCTAAATGCCAAAATCTAGCACAAGACTCTCAGCCCGTGGTCACGAAAGTGCTAGAGCCATCTGAGGATCTAAAGAACACGCACACATATAATAACGAGAAAAAGGTATCCAAGAGCCCGAAGAGGTACACCTAAAAATCCCTGCAGCACCGTATGCGTGCCCAAAAACTGAACTGCACGTCCGTCCCACCGTTCGACTACAGTAGCATCACCCCCTCCCTGTCCCACTCTATACCAAAACGGAAGATTGCCGACTACAGCATACTGCTGTCTGAAGTGCTGTCTGTACAAAAACACCATGGTAGGCATGGAACAAGCAGCTGGCGGGGCACAAAGCTGCTGTCTGAAGTGCTGTCAGAATGTGTCTGCGGCCGTACAGTGAAAAAGAACAACCAACCAAAGCCATCATAGCAGCAATTGACAATCACCCGAATCTCTCCCGATCGTCTGTGTTAGGCACTGCAGTGAAAAATATCGACACTAGCTAAGAATCGTTCCACATTGAAGGGGTCTTCCACGATCAGGCACAAAACCAATGCACCCGGGTTAGCCACGCCATCTCTGACGGGTCTCTCTACAAAACCGGTGACGATGTCATCACATAAAACCAACACGGAAAGTCAGAAAAAAAACGAAAAAAATTGACAACACAGATAGAAATGTTTGTCCGTGCGCCACGGGTCGATGTCGCCCGCATGCTCCGGTGCCATTGCTCCATCCGGCGCCGCTGTAGTCATCCCGAGCAAAACGCCACTCGACCTGCTCCGTCCGTACACGCTCTCGTTGCTGTCCTTCCCAGTCCGTTCCTCGCTTTCTCCCTCATTGCACTCAAGGTTCTCGGTCTGAAAAAAAAAAATTCTCGCGCCGAAGGGGTCAACCAGCCCAGTTCAGCTCGTCGCCACCTGCTCCCTCCTCCTTTGATGGCGAAGCCAGGTTACTGAGGCAATGCAGCGCCCTCTAGCCAACCTAGGGCCGTGTACATAGTTCCCGTCCACCTTCTGACGGTGTCTGCCTCCGCGCACAAAAAATGAGATGGGCATCGCTGCCTACGCCGACGGCCAGAGGCCCGCGCATCTACATTTTTTCGCCTGACCCCATCAGTGCCGACCCAACTACACCACCACGCGCATGCCTCGCGGCGGATATGCGCAGCAGCAAGAAGGTTTCGGTCATCCCTTGAGGGTGAGTCTAGCCCTGCTCGCCAGAAAGACCCCCCCCTTCGCTACAACCCATGTCTAAGCAAAAGCTTGTCGAGGAGCGAGGGGAAGAAGGGAGAGTAGAGAAGAACGAAGATACTCATTGAAAAAAAAAAGAAACATGTTGATATGTGTATATATGGCGCCTTCCTGGGGCGGGACAGGAAATGTGGCCCATGCGCACCGGCTTGTTTCCCATGTATGTTTCAATCGTATATGACTATATAATAAAAAAAATTGGATGCTGACAGAGGAGCGCAGAGCTGAGCGATGCTGCCCGTGGGTTTCAATGTATGCTAGCGTGCACAGGTCTCCCCGGGGGCGTTTCTAGCTACCCTTTGCAACCCACTTTCATCACGCCCCCACACGACGACCGCCTGAGGGTGAAGCTGGCCTCTTCGCCAGGCGCGCCAGCACAATCACAAGGGAGGTTATGTGCCAGGGCAGAGCGACTTCCATTCTCGGTGAGTCTTTTTGTCGTGACTTCGTGAGGGCAGCAACCCGGGGTAGTTCCGAGCCGAATTCCGACCACCCTCCACGTCGCAGGCGGGTCTGTGTCGCTGAAGAGGGGGAGTTTCCTGCCGTCGCGGGTGTCGATAGTACATGTCTGAGGCTCACTTGGATAGAAATCCGTTTGGAAGATGGACTTGTGTCCGCAGACTTCTCGCCAACAATGCGGACCAAAAATCTCACCGTGGTAGGAGCACCCTGCGAGGAAGGGTTCACCAGCAGGGGTTTTTAAAAACTAGAAACTGCCCAGGCTCGTTTCACACACCCCGACCACCAACGCGCGCCACGCCAAAGCACGCCAAGTGCCTCCGCATGGACAGAATAAAACTTTGGGGCTTTTGTCACTCGGCTTCAAATTTGATCGGGTTGTGCGACCACGAGTCTCTGTGTCCATTTGAGGGAGTTGTGTTGCTGCTCTTCCATCACTCGAGCGCCAGAGATGAGATCCAAAGGAGACACATTTTGAACGCGCTCAGATCTAGACAGACTCTGTCCGCAGGCGCACGGCGTTATCGCGGTTCATGAGCGGGTGAACCCTGCCGACCACTGATTCTATGGTCAGTCTAAGGATCGTTCGCCGCCTCAAAGCCGTAATGTCAGCTAGAACGGTTAGGCTCTCCGGTACTCCCGAATCTGCAGGATGTCGATACATCCGTACATGTGACAACTCGTCGATACTCTTGAGTTCCTCCAACATATTCGCTGCTGTACTTTTAAACGTCGTTTACCGTGTTAGCGAAAAGTAGCTAGGGTTTCAAGATGCGACCCATAATTCTCTCAGTTCCTCTGCTGAAAGAGGCAGCAACCCACAACATGGAAATTATTTAGAATAACACCCCTCTTACTTGCGGTAGGGCTTGTGCTCGATGTTCCGCGCGCGAGTGCTTTTTTATTGCTGTGACTGCCAAGAGTGAAGCTGTCGTCGATTGCTGAGTCTGAATGCAGTCATTCCGAAGTAGTGAGGCACTTAAGTACGTNCTTACTTGCGGTAGGGCTTGTGCTCGATGTTCCGCGCGCGAGTGCTTTTTTATTGCTGTGACTGCCAAGAGTGAAGCTGTCGTCGATTGCTGAGTCTGAATGCAGTCATTCCGAAGTAGTGAGGCACTTAAGTACGTACATACCGTTGCACACGGCGACACCAAAAACCGAACATACTACATACTACTGTACGCCGCGAGAATAAGCCGAAAACGCTCCGCACGCCGCGCTGCCGCCGGGATTCTACATCTTCAGCGATAAGTGCTTATGGCAATTTGCAGTTTTGTAGTGTTTTACCAGGACCTTGGAACCTAACCCGTGAACGTGTGCATGCATAGTCGTCTAGCCGATAATGTTCTAAGTTCCCGTGTACTTCAACGTTCCCACGGCGACGGCTTCTGACAGGCTGAAAGCGATGTCTTCAACGCCGGGGAAGGATTCGGGGGCACCGAGGAAACGAGCACATCCCACGCCCAGCTGGAGTCATCGCTCATTTGAGAGCAGTCGCGGCGCTTCGAGACAAACGGGTAAGTGTGACACCATAGAGTCCGGGGGTGGGGGTGGAGGAGAATGCCTACAGCGTCCTTTTTGTCGACGAAGCTCTAGGTCTGGGTTTCCTATGAGGTGCCGCGCTATACGTCCCTCTGTCCTCCTCATTCTCGTTCCCCGATCCTCACCCCTTTGCGTTGTCTTTCGCTATGTGGAAACGCCATTTCGAAGAGTTCAACTTCCTCTCTTGGGATGATCCAACGCAGCTTAAAACCTCGTTACCTTTGTGCCTCTATCTCAAGCACCACAATCGGGGGGGTACGACAAGGAGCGGAACCGCCGGGGAAGTGATAGGGTGGGTGCGTACTTGGCTAGCCGAGTCGAAGTTTGCGGATGGAGTGGAATTCGACGCGACCACTCACCAAATTGGACCCATCCTCAGCACCATCCTAGAGGTACGGTGTATTTTGTCGTGTGATCGGCCGGCGTGGCTCTGAGTGCCTTTGACATACACTACGGTATGTATGGCACCCTATTCCGTATCGTCAAGACTAGGGGTGAAAGTCGCGTTTCCATATGGTATTTTCGGTTCTCATCTACGTACCCATCCCCCCGCATCCCTCCGCTCGTCCTCTTGGTTTCACATCGGCTACGGTCATACTCGCGTGGTCAGAAGCATGGGGCCTACTTCTGTGTTGGCGACGGGGGTACGCGCAGGAAAGCAAAGGTGTACTGCATCGAGTCGTGCGAGTGGAGCGTATCCTACTTGGACCTCTTGAAATCGTTGCCCTTGCGTTGGTCCGCGACAAGACTACCGGATGACAACGTGGTCTTCTCAAGGGACGACGAGGGAGCAGAGGTGAAGGTGAGGGTCGCCCCGTAGTCGCGTGCCAGCGGTTGGCGGTTATGGTGTTAACCCTGTCGGCGCCTTGTACTTGACTGCCGAAGCAGAGAGTGAAATTCTAAACCGTTCCAATTCGGAATTGCATTAAGTTGTCGGCGCTTTTCTTTTGCATCATGTCAACACCATCGGGTGTTTGAGCTGTCGCGGCATGGTCCAGGTCACCCTCGAGAAGCCGGACCTCGGCGGTCGTGGATCATTGAAATCCATTCGGTTCAACGGCATCGATGTGCATGACGACGAGTCCCTGCGTTCGGCTCGGGGTCACATCTGCAATATGCAAGACCTGGAAGTGGTGAGAAAACAGGCAGCCGTCTGCTTGGAAACACGCACCGTCGAGTGTCGTCCATGCCGCGCATTATACTGGGGGGGCACTTCGAAGTATGCGTGTTGAGGGGTCGAACACCGTGATCGTCGGAGTTTTCTCACCGGTGTTGTGGTGCTCTCCCCCCGCCCCCATCTCTCCGGCCTTGCACCGTCGATACGGAGTTAACGCCCACGTGGATCGGGTTTTGCCGGAAAAAATGAACAAAAGAAAAACGGTACTTGAATCTCGCCCGGGTTACCAATTATCCAGAGCGTTCTCCCCCGGGGTATGTGTTTCTCCCCATTTTGGACCGGTTGACGCAGCACTGCCGGCGTGATCGTCGATGGAGATATGCGCCGCCCAACGTGTTGCCTACGTCGTTTTGTTGTGGCAGGCTCTCAGCAAAATTGATGCAGTCCAGGCTTGCCTTGGAATCTCTCAACAGCACGTTGCGGACGGCGGAGATTTGCCGGAGGGATCTGCGGATGTTTTTCCCAGCATAGTACGTGCGGCAGAGCGTGCTCTCGGTGACGATGACGGGTACGCGCCGCCGAAGCGCTGGGAACACGCTCGCCTGAGGGGTTTAACGGCGGGGACAGCCGGCGTTTCTGGGGTCCTCAGCTTCGTCGACGGGAGGGATGTGTTCTGGTCGAAACACTGTGCTGGTGTGGAGAGTGGAAACCAAGGCGCAGCTGGGCGAGTGGTCCCGAGGTGTTCGAGGTGCAAGGAGTTCTGGCGAGACAGTTTGAAGGGACGCATCGAGACCTTCCGCGGAGATGCGATGAAGCACACCACGACCGACAACCTCAGCACCGATCAGAAGGTACGTCGCTCTTCAGAAGACCATTGTGGGCGTGCAGCGGTAACTGGGGGGGCGTGAGGGGTGGTCGATGTGTGTTGCTCTTGTGCACCGAGCACCATTCTTATGTGCTCCCTCGCGACATCGCTTCCCTTCAGAAAACCAGGATTCGGGAGTCAGCGGCAGACTTGAAGGTCATGTACGAGAAACAAGAGCGGTTGAAAAAGAGGGCGATGAAGTTTCGGGAGGAGTGTACTGAGCTGCCGCCGGAACAAGGGGACGCTGTCCACAAATTTCTCATCGCTCAAGAGACGAGGAAGCTGCTAGACTCCAAGCTCCCGCCGGACAGCGATGAGAGGCCCCTCCTGAACGTATGTGTGTGTGTGTGTGTGTGTGTGTGTGTGCTGTTTCTTCATTTTTTCGTTTGTTTTTCTGAGTTTGGCCGATCCACCTGGCCCTCAAAGCACGCTACGCCTCGTTCCAAATGCGACCGGAGGGTTCCCAACTACTGTCCGTAATCTTCGTATTGATGGCTATGGTCATCCCCCGAAACTGAGTCCAACCTCATCCAACAAACAACCTACAACGATATCTGCGCCGATTCCCTTACCCTAGGATCTCATCCAAGGCAACCTGGCGAAGGAAGACGGGAGAGGCTACCGCTTCCACGAGTCAACGTTGAAGTTCTGTATATACTACAGCGGGGTAGCGGGCACAGGCGCGTATCACGCCCTCAGGGAAGTGCTGCATCTGCCCTGCCCTGCGCACATCAGGCAGCTGCGAGCAAAGGCGGTACCCACGACGAACGGCTTGCTGGTGGACAACATCCAGGTAATAAGCTCCGGTCCACGTCGATGGCCATGAACGCCTTCGAAGCCGGTTGTATTGTAGTCTAGCGGTCACAATTGAGAGAGTCGGGATCGACCCTTATTTATTTTGTATTTTTATGTGACATGTTCCGGTGCAGTGCCGGAAAGCATTGCGTTGCGCCCGTTGAGGTATCGGCCGAATCGCAGTACCCTGAAAATTTGGCCGCGACGGTGTTTGTCATGCCAACCTAGAACCACGTAGAAATCGATGTACAATAGAAGGTGAGGCTGCTACTACGGTCGCCAGTTAGCGGAGTATGAAGACGCCAACCCAAGTCCATGACGTGTATCGCGCGCAGGGTGAAGAAAAAATGGGTCCGACTCAGTAACACTCATCTCTACATGGGCTGCATTGGCCTAGCTGTGCTGAATGATAAGAATGGGGTCGCCAAGTGCAAGCCAGTGGAGGCTCACATCTTTCTTATGTTGCGGCAGATGCCGAGCCTCGCATGTTTACTTTTTAGGAGAAAATCTGAGGCTGAGTGTCTTGAAAAATGAGTTTCTTGCCAGTAGGCCGGAACTATACTGAACCAAGCCACCCTCGCCCGGTATATCGTTTGCGATCCGCAGAAATATGGGAAGCTCGCCGCTGTGCAAAACGCGGATCCGGCCGAACTCATGGGGGGTCTGGCACGGGACTGCATCCACATCAACAAGAACGGATTTACCTAATCTCCGAACGGAGCGGGGTTGACGGGCCTCGTGGACGAAGCTATGTTCTTCCGTCCCATTTTCAAGGAGAACGGAGAGGAGGAAACGGATTTGGAGAAGACTCTGAACAAGATCATCGCCACGCAACACGTTGAGGTGGTGTTTGATTATTGGCTTCACCAGGTGTTCCAAGGTTGATTCGAAATTGCGGTGTGTTACGGCGCGGCTGGCAAAGGCTCAACGTTGACTAGGAATCGTCGTCGTCACGGTTTGCACGCGGAATTTGTATCCGTGTCGACAGACGCGTGGCGCAGACATCGAAGTTTCCCCACTTACCCCGTCATCACCCTCGGCTCAACATCGCGGGAGGGACCATCGACCGTATCCCGTCTCTTCCCTTCTTACACCAGTGTTTTTTTTTTCGCTTCCATCCCCGGTCCCAACTACAGGTGTTCTTCATCAGCCTGGCCAAACCGGAGTACAAGTTCGCCGTGTGGCGCGAATCCGTCTGATCTCTCAACACGGACTACATCCAGCGAATGGTGAGGCATCCGCTCACTGCGACAAGGGGTTCGATGTCGTCTTTCTGGTGTGCGATGCAGCTGGCGAGCAGTAAGTCTACGCATGTTGTGTCAACCCAATATTGCGTTGTTGTTTCGCGCGACACCATCCGTATGCTGCGCGCCTCGGGATGGGCAAGGGCTTCATACGGGTGTTCTGTACAAATGGGGGGACATTGCGTGTGCGAACGATTGAAACCCCTCGCCCTTCCCACCACCCTCCAATCCAACTGATGCGCTCCCTCCTTCCCCGTGCGCATTTTCCTCTTCTCCGTCGCTCTTTGCAAATTGTGCGCTGCATAGCCGCTCCTTTCGGTTGCGAGCCGCCACGGTCAAGTTCGGCGACTTCGCAGGAGGCGACGACGAGGAATCTTTCTCCGACTTTAGGGTTTCCCTTCGTCATCCTGTCCACCTTGGCCCGATATTTAACGTGAGCGACCCTCCGCATCTCCTGAAAAAGGTCGCGAACGCCCTCTGGCACAGTGACCTCGCCGGGAAGCAGCGTGACCTCGCGATGTGGTGTACCGGCCACGAGGGCAAGGAGGAGCTAGTTCGTTTCTCGCTGGAGACCGGCCACAAAGCGTACCGACGTGTCGAGAACAACGGCGACAGTCTTACGCTGGAGGAGACCGTGGCATCCATCACGACCTTCCGCACGATCGTGCCGTCCTGCTTCAGAAGGAACAGCTGGAACTGCATGAAAATGGGAATGTCTTCGAAGGTGATAGGCCGCTGCAGAAGCGCAGTCGTAGACCTAGTTGCTCGGGTGGACACTAAATCTTTACATGCGTGTTCCGTATCACGCGTATGCTCCCCCTACTGCCGTGTCACTCCACATTACTATCGACGCGGGTTACAGATCTCGCGTTTCTGAACCCGGCGTAACATAGAATTCGAATAGCCTGGCGATGGTCGTGTACACGAAACGCGTGTAGACGACGCCGAGGGGTGCGCATGCAGTCCCGATCAACCTCTTATCCAAGACCGTTTCGTACGACGCCCGTCATTCTACAGGTGCTATCGGGCACGATGGTTCTTATCATCGAGCAGATCCAGCGCGACCTCATGACCGAGGGAAACCCCCCCGACTTGGAATTGGAGTGCTACGCAGCACTCGCGTCGAGGATGGACGCCTTCGTCGACATCTTCAACGGCAAGGGATATATGTTCTTGTTGTCCCAAGTCGTACGTCTTCTTCCTATCGCAGCACGTGAAGGGGCCTGTTGCCTGCCTACTAGTTTCTAAGATACCCTGTCCCCGTGAACATTAACTCTCCGTGCACATCATGCCGCGCCTTCTCACCCGACCGACCCACTAAGTTGGGGACATATATGTGTGTGTGTACATGCAGGGAACTTCGGCCGGTCGGAGTACGCGCGCAAGAATGGTCTTCACAAGATGGCGGGCTACGTCACATCGGCCGACGACTCCAAACTAGAAGAACTCATGGACATCCTGCGGTTTTTCGAGGAGTAACGAGCCTCGCTGGAGGCTAAGGCGAAACCGGGCGACGACACCGGGAAGGCGCGCTTCATAACCGACTACTCGTGGACCGACATCCGGGTGTGCATCCTTGGCTCCGTCAGTTTGTGCCGGTACTTGTTCGGGGAAGACTCGAGGTTCAAGGTCTCCCCCCTGAGCGGTGTTCTCCACTTCGTCAACCTGCGAAACGTAGGCTAGGTATTACGTGCACAAAGCCTACGTCGGGCCCGAGGTGCAGTAGTGTGTTATCGCTTTTGCAGCCTGTGGAAAGTGTGCATCTACTCCGCACTCGAGAAGCGTATTTCCAGCGTCAACGCCACCCCCCCGGCCCCGTCTCCACCACTTCCCCTTCTGCCCCCCACAGGATCCCGTGGAACACCGGTTCGGGCACATGCGCCAAGGCCTTGGGTCGCACAGAAACCCAACGGCTACGCAAGCGAAGGAACGGGCAGCACGAGGGGACCTGAATCGTGGTTTGCACGGGGGTTCCCGCGCGAACCACAATCGGACTTCGCGGAAAGGAAATGACTTCATCGCGTCCGGGGTCCGGGGACAGATCATCCTCCCGGTGACCGACGAAGAGCGGTCTGCTACGATGCGGGCGCCCTCGAGGAACCCTGCCTCAGCTGTGATGTTCCCGCGGTACCTAAGCATTGTCAAACCCCGTGCGGACCCTACGGTAGAGGGTAGTGCATCCCAGGAGTCGACACCAGCCTCTGCAGGCCAGACTCCTGAAGTCTTCAACCCACACGCTCCTCGAGAGATTTAGAAGGGGAAAAGGTAGCACTTGCTGTTTCAGGTCAAGTAGACAGGGCATAGAGATGACGAGTGAGGGCTACAAGATTGCAGGTGTTTCGTGTTTTCTACCGGGAACAGCACGAAGTAGACCGTAGACTACAATCACAGCGTGCCCAGCAGGCCATGTCATGTATCTTTGCGGAAGCATGGGGCTTGCCCACGCACTGTTGTGCAGAGTGTGAAACGTATAGGACGGTATGCGGGAGGAGCGAGTCTGGCGCTCCCGTTATCGAAGCCGTATTTTCTTTATGTAGGGGTAGGGGGCTTGCCCGCCCAACCTGGGCAGCACGTGTTGGAGTGACTTCCCGGTTACGCAAAACCAGCAGGTATATTGCACCCGTTGTCGAATTATCTTATTTTTTTTGCAAAGTTATTGTTTTTGTCTTCTAGTTTTGGAGTTTCGATACGTTTTCCTCCCTGCTGCGCACCGGATGTACAATGCACACAGGTTAGGGCTTCTCGGTTCCCAGTCCCCCCCCGATATCCTCTCTATCTAGATAGATAGTGATGTCCACAATTTTGGGTGCACACGTATCGGATCGACGTTCGGATTCTTCAGTAACGGAGCCTTTTGGATGATATGTCCTGGGTGGTAGAAAGGTGGCAACTTCAAATCAATTCGCTTCGTCAGAATTGGTTTACCGGTGTTGAAGACGTTTGGGATCGTTGCACTGTACGCTTCCTTGTTGATCAGTAAATAGTAATGGACGCAATTAAACCCCGCCTTGCCACAGCAATGCTCTGGGCTTAATGCGGTGAAGACGACTACTATGTAGCTGTAGCCCTTAGCAAGCACAGAAGACAAATATTGCGAGCACGGTCCTGAGCGGCTGAGGTGTGTAACGCACCGACGGGCCTTGTGGTGAGAAGCGGGAAACCGTGAGGAACGCCAAGTTCGACACGCACACAAGTCAGATGGCAGTGATTATCCCTGAAAATTAAAGTACAGTATGAGAAAACGAAAGCCGGCGCCACCCAAGCCCAACCTTCACCTTCTGTCTTGGAAACTTGATCAAGAACCACTCCCGCTAGACACACCCGCCCCCTCTAAAACCGACCGTGAGAAATCCATTGCAATCGGTCGGGAAAGGAAATCGTCGTGGTCCATTCCGTCCTGCGTCGGAACTTCTTCCGTCGTGAAATCACCACCGGCAGAGGCCATCTCCCCACTACCTGTCAAGGTGTTGCCCTCACCCGCGTTCTCACAACCACGCCCCCGGCATCCTCCTCCGGCTAGCCCAGTCCCCGTCACGTTGGGGCCTGCCCCTCCAACCGGTTCCTGCCTGAACCCACACACAAACGTCTCCAGATAATCGAGGAGATCCGCTTTTCTTGAGTTTACAGTGCCCTTCGGAATCTCTGCGGCTTTCGTGAGCACGACAAGTTGTTTTGTAGTGCATCTGTCCCTAATCTCTGCCCTGGACATCCCCTTCAACTGGTCGAGGGTGGGCGGGGCTTGCCTTGGCGCGCGCCCCCCCTTTCGGCGCTTTGCAAGGTCCCCCTTACCCCCTCCAGCGGCCCCGTCCCCCTGTGCACCTCCCTCTGCTCCGCCACTACCGGCCCCTCCACCCGCCCGTCCCTTTGTGTTGACCTGTGCGTTTAGCTGTTGCCGTAAACCAAGCGCGGCCTTCGTGAACTTGAGGAAAGTATTCTCCGTTACACTCTTCGCGTAGTCACCCATTCGCACGTCAAGAATCTTCCCGACTTCGAAAAGAAACATCTCCTGGGATACACTAGGGTCGATGGCGGGAGGACCAGGTGGACAGCAGTTTCCCCACATTTCCTTAACGACCTCCGCCTCGCTTACAACTTTGAAAATCTCGGCTGGCAAGCCCCCAAGGCAAGCAGCAAGGAAGATAGGGTTTTTCAGAAAATGGAAGATGCCCCTCTCCACGGCATACACAAACTCTACCCAATCCATCGTCGGGTAAAGAAGTCCTGGACCGTTCTTCAGGTCGTTCTTCTGATCGACTCCCGCTACGAAATCTCTCAGCATGACATTAGTAAATATCGCCTCCCGACTGGACCGGCGAGTGTTGTGTTGGACGACACGCACCCAATCCTGGGAAAGATTGTGTCTTGCTTGATGCGTCAAAGCCTTGCTGGCGGCCCACCCGGCGATGTAGTACAGGACTTGCCCCCGCGGTCTTGAGATCTGATATCTTTCACTGGGTACGAGAGCTCCACGGCCACGGAATTCTTCCGCTCTTTCATGTACACCTTGTACAACTCCTGAATTATCGAGAGGGGATGGAGAGCGGTTCGAAGAGAGGAGCGCGTGCACGGGGAGAGTACCTCAGCTACATGGCCGTGAAATACAAGTGAAATAATAAAAAAATCGGAAAGGTAAACTCTAAACCTAAGCGCCAAGGGTGGTTGTTTCTCCAACACACCACCTTCCCAGAATCAAACACACGACGCGCTCTCTCAAACCTCGAATCATCGCTGGAACGTACACATGGAGAGTGGAAGTTTGACTTCTTCACACACGGTGCGGAAATGACACACAAACCCTTCGACAAACCAATTCCTCGCTTACTAGTTCCTACCGTATCAACCCACCTCCTCCACGTGGTTGATGATGCAGGATAGGTAGTGCAATGCCTTCTCTTCTGGATACATTTTGAACCCTTGCTCCAACACTTCCGGCTGATTAATCCAGGCTGTGAGTCTACCCTCCCAGCCAGCAAAGCGGGCCAAGGTGAACGCTGCCGCCGCCATAGTATCAGCCTTACGGTGTTTTAACGCGGCGACGCCGTCCACGTGGCCATTCCAAGCCTCGGAAATCAAGCGCGCGGTAGGAGCAAGACCTTTGACCTTTTCCCAAAGCGGGCCGAGCCAGCTTTTACGCCTGTTGAAGAGGTCGTCCCCCCTCTCCCGCACCTTCTTTATGACGTCGTCTGTGTCCCCGCGAAGACCCCTCGCGATTTGGCTCCGAACGTTGACCCTAACATTTTGGACGGAGGGGTCGTCATCCTGCCTCATCGTCACAGAGACTGCCGCGGACAAACCCACAACAATGATGCTGGTGAAAAGTTTGTTTCAACTATGCCCTCAATGCGATGGTGATGATAGGCTCAAGAAAACGACAAATGCTGGCCTGACTATGCGAGTTCACGCCAACAGGAAGCATTGGCTGATACCATGTCTGAAATTGCGAGCAGGCAACGATATGCACAGCCGTTCTCACCGAAATATCACCGAATCCTCTGGCGGCTTCATGCATCTCACGGACTGCATCCTTGTCGCGCTCCGCCTCTTCGTCCGAATCCTCCACGTCGCCGTCATCCTCCTCTTCGTCGGAATCCTCTCGGCGCCCTTGCACCCAACAGCATTCGAAAGCACAAGGAATTGTAAGACTCCGACGCAATATGTTATCTTTTGGACAGTCTGGAGCGTTCACCTTTCTTCGCGGCAATGACGTCGGAATATGAACAGGGCGACATTCCGATCGTTCGTAACGAATGGAGTAACACACAGCAGAACAAACAAGGGATGACACGACTACAAAGGTATTCACTGCTGCGACTAACGTGACTCTAACAGCCAAGAGCCTTCAACTTACTCTTGCGCGCTGGATGCATCTCGCGATGTGTTCCTGCATCATCGCTGTCCTCTTTCTCCTCGCCGGTCGCCTGCCCAGTGTGCGAGACATGAGGGCACAAAGCGTTACGAACGGCGCGATGACATGACGACTACTGCTGTCGTGTAGACGAGTCTATACGTCGATGGCCACAGTGCAGTGCTGGGTATTGAGAGATGGGTACACGTGGGGAACAAGGCTTACAAGAAAATGAATACGGAGAGCAACAAGCATTGTGTCATGGATAACAACACCACGATTGACACCACCCACACTTTCCGCTATAAATTCTCACCGTCAAATGCCTCGTAATAATCCTGACTGGTGACGAGGTTTCTCCTTCGTTGCCCTCGCCGAAAATGACGTTTCGCATCCATTCCATCCCGGCGCACCTCTGGGGAGGGGCAAAGGGAAAGAGAGACAAACGAAAAGAATAAGCCGCTGTTTGATGTAAGACTACATATTTTTTGTTGGAGACGTCATGGGTCTGCTGCGCTTTTGCACCTTACGAGAGCCTAAATAACTATTTCCGCACTAATCGTGAAGAGAAACGCCGCCGCCAAACCGTAAGCAGGAACCACCGTACCAGGAACAGACAGGGCTGGGCCACCTTACCTTCTTTTTCTTCCGTTGTAGTATGACAACAAGATAACACACCCCCTTGACCGATTTTCGAAGGTCGATTTCTAAACTGCAGGAACAGTCACAGCGCCGAAAACGGCGGCGTTGAAACCGCCTCGTTCATAGCTTTTCGAAAATGTATCATTTCGTTTATGCATCATCTTCGTCGTGGAGTAATCGAGCTTTGAAAATCCGTCCAGGGGGTGTGTTATCTTGTGTCATATACAGTAGCCTACATATATTTGTTTTTTGATTTCTTCGCGGTGTCGAGGGTGCCGTACCTTGTAACCACGAGTCCCCATGGATGTTTTGGAATAGAGGACTTATGTGAGAAACCACTTCTACAAGAGGGCTGGCAGGTACTATGCCCACCATTGCACGTGTTGTGAACCAGTCCCAACGATACAAAACACAACAGACGCTACTACTACTACTTGTTGTAGCAGCGGCGGCGAAAGTGGACAGGTCGGTTTTGTGCTAAAAATAGATTAGTCTCAGATACCCATAGCATTAAGATTATCCCGACGGCATGGTGGAAGCCACAAGTTTTTTTTTTCGCAACTGACGTGCTTTGGCGTGGCGCGCGTTGGTGGTCGGGGTGTGTGATTCGAGCCTGGGCAGTTTCTAGTTTTTAAAAACCCCTGCTGGTGAACCCTTCCTCGCAGGGTGCTCCTACCACGGTGAGATTTTTGGTCCGCATTGTTGGCGAGAAGTCTGCGGACACAAGTCCATCTTCCAAACGGATTTCTATCCAAGTGAGCCTCAGACATGTACTATCGACACACGCGACGGCAGGAAACTCCCCCTCTTCAGCGACACAGACCCGCCTGCGACGTGGAGGGTGGTCAGAATTCGGCTCGGAACTACCCCGGGTTGCTGCCCTCACGAAGTCACGACAAAAAGACTCACCGAGAATGCAACTCGCTCTGCCCTGGCAAATAACCTCCCTTGTGATGGTGTTGGCGCGCCTGGCGAAGAGGCCAGCTTCACCCTCAGGCGGTCATCGCGCGTGGGGGCGTGATGAAAGTGGGCAAAGGGTAGCTAGAAACGCGCCCCGGGGAGACCTGTGCACGCCAGCATACATTGAAATCCACGGGCAGCATCGCTCAGCTCTGCGCTCCTCTCCGATACTATTATCGCTATAGGGGCTCGTCTGTCAGCATCCATTTTTTTTTATTATATAGTCATATACCATTGGTATGTTTTATTATTTCAATCGACTGGAGGCCCTTCTTTCTGTACAATGACCCCACGATACCCACGCACGTTGCACTCTTCATTTTTGCCACTAATGAATGAACATTATACGCACGGCCATACATACTGCTGTTGTAGCACACAGAGAATCCGCCAACGAAAAGGGGGAACAAAACAATACATCACGCACTGCAACAACGCCACTGACAACAACACGCAGACAGATAATAATCTATTGATACACCCATGTCGACATATTACGTACGTACGCTTCAACACCACACAGCACAGAATAAACGTGTACATCACTTAGTGTTAATGTACTCGGACGGAGCCGGCTTGCGGTGAGACTCAAAGGTGTCCCTCTTCTGTACTGCTTCCGCGCCCTGGAGTCCGTCGCGGTACACCTCGTTGAAGTTGGCCACCGTCCTGCAGAACTTTTGCACAATTGCTAGACTCAAGCGGTCTTCGGCCACCGCGTATCTCTTCGAAACATTGGTCCGCAAGCACGCGATAGTGTACTTGCAGTGCCGCCAGACCCAATACTTGGATCTACCCCACACTAGCTCTATCGGGTTGATCTCGCAGTGGAACTTGGGGAGCATGATTGACACTCCTTCATGGCGCTTCACTAACACCACTAGGTTAGGCTCTACGCTCGCGAAGTCCTCCTGCGTACCCAACACCACCGGCATACACAACGCTGGGTCATACTTCTGTTGGCCTTTCTTGATTCCTTTCATGCTCATGTCCGCGTCAGAGCCCCCTCTCAAACAGAACTTGCTTCAGCCCCTTGAGCTTGCCAATGTGATCCTCGGCACCCGGGCCGTAGAAAGGACTCTCGCCCTCCTGAAAGGTAGGGTACTGCACCGTCCCTTCCTTGAGTTTGGGCGTGTCTACCAGTAGGGTCGTAGCGTCCTGGGCAGCTAACTGTTTACCCTTCCTCACCCCCTCGTACCCGGCGTTCATGCGAGTTGCGCTCGGTGCCCCGTCTTCGACACAGTCGTGGCAAGATGACTAGTCGAAAAAGCAGATGGGCTTGTGCATCGGATACTTAACCACCAAGAGGTCCAATACATCTGCCATGTGTTCAACCATCTTCGCGCCCGTCCAGTAGCCGCCCCTGCTCTTGCCGTACTCGATCCTGTGGTAGGTTCAGAATTTGCCGTCTTCGTCCTTGTAGAGCTTGTCGATGTTACGATACGTCTCTGGCTTGGTCGGGTCACCTGCCGCGTGTTCGGTTGCCGAAGTATCGCACCGCTTACGCCGGAAGGCTTGCGCCTTGTCGATATCAGCCTGGTCACCCGCAACGAACCCCACGTTGTCGACGATGGTGCCAGAGGTCATAATGCCTTGACCGTCTCCCTTCTTCTTGAGCGCGTGATAGTTGGGTGGCACCCACGCGAAACGCTGGTCGTCGTTGGCCCTGTAGATGCACTCGTCCTGGTAGCAGAAGATCGCTCTCCTGCCGTCAGAGTAAGTTTTCTTGCTGGTGACCCTCTCGCGGAGATGCTGAGGAAGTTCGGAGAGGGTCTCCCTGAAGGCATGCACGCAAACCCAAACACGCCCATCATTTTGCCTGTCCTGCGCTTGCACTTGCACCTCCCAGGACCACGCCTCGTCCGAAGTCGCCTCGATCCAGATCTCCATGTAGTCGCGGTGCTCAAAGTACGCCGGGAGGTACTTCTCGACCCGGTACGCGAGCACGTCTTCACGGTCATGGCCGTTAAAGTACAGGCCCGACTTGCGATCGCGGTACTCGCACCCCAGCTTGTGCAGCCGGGAGCGCGCCGTGCGAACCGTCACCGACTACGACATCACTATCTCTCCTGATGCCGTTTCAGTCGTCGTCTTGGTGACAGGAGCGTGCTTGAAGGCGTCGTATCATAGTCGCACGTTTTGGTGTCTGCTACCTGTGGCAAGACGTCCGTGTTGAGGTACTCGCGGAAGCCCTCGGCTGTCATGTTGGGCTCCCCATTTTTGATAGAGTTGACGCGGATCCATTGACGTACCATCACGAGAAGACCCTCGTCCAAGCTCAGGATCCACAGCCGTTCGTGTTTCCCCCTCTGGTCCACCTTCAAATACAGCAAAAGGGTGCACGCGACAAAGAACACCGCATTGTCGAGAAAAAGGAAAGGGTGGCTCAAAAGCATGCACGGGCGCGGGATGGAAAGGGAGCAATAGCGCATGCGTTGCACGGAGGGAGCATGTTCACAGCTACGGCCGGCGAGCTTGTTGAGCTAGAGCGGTACTATTTTATGTTCATCGCCACATACAGAGTCCACGGCACGCACTTTCATTGCGGTTGAAACGGATGTCTGGTACATATCTCCTCTCACCTGGATATGGCCCTTGGTGCGGTAGGAAAGCTCCAACTCACGGAGGGTGCTCGATGCCACTTAAAAAAACTCCGCCGTTTCCTCGAAAGCTTGCCTCTTGGACCCCCCCCTGAGCAGCTTGTGATACAGTCCTTTCAGAGCCAAGGCCTTGAACTGCACGCTGCCGGCTTGCGTATGCGAGACGAGAACAGACTCCTGCATGTACGTAAGGTAGGAAAGGGGGCAAAATCAATGGTAAGATAATCGGGACAAGCAGCGGGGATGAATGACAAGGGTGGGGGCGGAGTGGTTCTTGCGGCCCAACAGTCGCGCGCAACTTCACCCAGACACGTACATGGGCGGCATTACATCAAATACATATGGCAGCAGCAGGAGCAGCATAGCGACAACCGCACAGTATAACAACCAACAGCAGTGCTTGCAGCACGAAAACTGCGATCAACGCATGCATACATATACACTGCATCGTGTAGTCTACCCCAACATCTCTTACATTGAGTCCAGCAGATGTGACTGCTACAGCGGATTGGCATTCCTTGATGACGACGCGGAAATAATCCTTCCCCCGCTCCCAGCCCGATCTACATGCAGCAGATGCTGCGGCCGCCTTGTCCAGCTGCGATCGATGCTTCGCCAGCTTGCGAAGAGCCTCCTTCCTGCCCACACCGCTGTTGCTCTGGCGCTTGAGGAACGCTGGTCGATAGCCCTCTTCTTGCTGGTGCGCCGAGCCTCCTTCACTGCATCCGACATCGCTCCAGGAAGATCGCGCGAGACCATCTGCGCACACTGGAGCTTCCCTCGCTCGAGATAATCATTGAGCTGTTGCGCAGCTTGGCGAAGCCTCTTCCTGCCGTAGCTCCCCTTTGGTCTGCCTGCTCCAGGGCGTGCTCCGCCGCGCTTTCCAGGCGGTGCATCTCCGGTGGATTCCGCAGCATGTTGACAGTCCCGCGGCCGCTTTTCTCGGGGAGGCGTAACTTCGGCTTCGCCTGCACTTGCATCGTTGTGGGGCACATTGCTGCTACAGAAGGATGGCCGCCAGGTAGCAGTCCACCGGTCCTCGGCCGCCCAGTCGCGACCCGTGGTTCTGCCTTTCGGAAACTTCATGTATGGGCTGCACCAGCGCGGTCTGGATCCATGCACTTGGGCCGTCAGTTGCACACGATACTTCTTCGGAGCCTTGTGCTGATGCACACTCACCAGCTTACCACCACCATGAGCCAAGGTTGCCAGTATGATCGCCAGGGACTTGTCGCGCAGCTTAAAAGCCATGGGCGTGGACCGCGACCTCTTTATGTGTGGCAGCCGGCGGGGCTGATGTGGGCGAAAAAAAATAAAATGTTGGTTCTGATTTTTTTTATATTCTTCATCAGCAAGCTCGGGGATTATTTCGCTGCAGTAAAATACTAATAAAAGAAAAGTTCATTTTGCTTTTTATTATTAAATTTACAATATTAAAAACTAAATATGGATTTTATTCATTTCTTTTTTGTATCGACTTTAGTATTTGTTATCGGTGTGGGAGGAGTTATTTTAAATAGAACAAATATTGTTGTTGTTCTTATGGAGTAGTTCTGAAAGAGAGCTTTTCGAATCTGCATTTTTTTTCGCGGGGTTTGCCGTGGTTGTTGAGATATGGCGATTCTTGTGGGATGAAGTGCCTTCTGCTATGATGATAATGGGGGCATATCTTTCTCGAAAGCCCAAACCCCGCGCTGTGAATGGGTTTATTCGATCGCTGCTGATGAGAGCTTTCTCACGAATATTTTGGTTCCGCTCAATTCGTTGATGAAGATTTTCTTTTTTTTCAAAGCACCCGTATTCGGCCTGACGAATGCCGGCACTTGTTAAGGAGTGTTGCTGTATGGCACAGATAGGGTACACAGTCGGTCTAGATTAAGATGGGGGACGTCAGGAGGTAT